GGCACTCCTCGGCGACAGAATAACCCGGCGCAGTCGCGTCGAACTGAATAGAAACTAAGGAATGGCGCGATACTTGTAGGATAGTGACTCACTGTTTGTATTAATTCCAAAGCTCGTACCATAATTACTGTAGATACGGGCTCCTATACCTAAAACACGAATCGTATAAATTAGCAGCAACTAGACGCATAACGGCAGGAAAGCATTCCCCCCGCGTTTGTGCTAGTAGCCTGTATAGCTACCTAATCAATCACTGGTTTTTATTGCATATCCTCGACTGAAGTGAATTAAGTTACCAAAGTCAACCCATAAGGGCGACTACAGTAATCTAGAAGAGTTAAGTAGGAAGTAGAGCCATCCCCGTGTTTGCGCCTTGCTAGTTAATTGAACTGCTCCACGGACAAAGGCCTCGTGTTCTCTCTCTCCGAGATTAGCGATCTAGACGTGCTGAGTCGACTTTAAATCAAAAGACCTCATCTAGTTGAAGTAAAATAAGCCCTAGAACGCTTTAAGTTCGAACAATCGTCGAGTTCAAGGAACTCCAGAGTCTGTGTACTCTTTGCAAGTCTTGTACTTGAAGTCAGAACCTGAGTGTTCTTTGTAGAGTGATTTTGCACTCTTTGTAGACCTCGGAGTCTTTGGTTGTTTGATTATTTGAAGTGTCCGCTAGAAGTTCTTCTAGACGACGTCGAAACAAGCATAACTTGCTCGACTATACCTTACAAAACAAGTTCATAAAACCCCGCTATCGCGGACTAGTGTACTTTGTGTAAAACACATCGAAAGAAGAATTGAAGTTGTTTTCAGGCAAAACCCCACTAGATTATCTAAATCTAAGTACATCGCGAGTGCTTCTATCATACTCACCCTCGAACTTATATACATTGGTGATTGTGTGTGTGTGTGTGTGTGATTTAGTATCTAGATTGACGATCTAGACGCTAGTTTCATTTGCGCGCTGCCCGTTACCGAGCACATCACCGGGGCGACGACCACCACGTCTGGCGTCCATCTTGTCCTGACCTGAGGCGCTCGCTGGGTGCTCCAGAACTCTCCCCGTTCGGTCAGGCGGGGGTGTCTGAGGTGGACTGACCCCTAGGGGTTCATTGTCCTTCGCTGACTGCGTAGGACGGCGGAAATCCCCTCCTACGCTGTTGTCGGTTGGCGATTCGTCATTCTTAGCTTCTTCCACTGGTAACGCGGCAAAAATGTTGGTATATTGTTCGAACGGGGTACCTACATACATAGTATAAGTCCGACTACTATTACAAGAGAGCGCACCAGATGAAACTAAGTCCTTGGCCGACGCCGTCGAATCACTTATTTCAACGCCGGCTCGTCTTTTGACGACTCCTCTCCTTTCACCTCTTCGACCTTCGTGTCTTTTCCTAGCTCCTCCTTTTCAGCTTCAGTGAGTAGTTGGTGGAGGCGAGCGACGTTGGGCTTTTTGCGAGGTGGGAGTTTGACGGGAAGCCACTTTGCCTTGTCTGTCAGACATTTATGGCCTCGGCTCCACCCGGTGTTCCCACACTTGAAGCACTGCTTGTCGGACTGCAATTTGTCGATTTCCATTGGCTGCCCCGCGCCTCCATACGTAGTTCCTGTGGCATCCTTCTTGTCGCCACTAGGCCCTCTGCCCTTCGACTGGTTTTGATTGCCTCGACCTGAACCGCCTTGGTTCGAGGAGGTCTTACTGGCGAGGCCCTGGGCCACGTCGTATCGATAGTTGGCGTCGATCCTTAGGACTCGCGCCTTCCATTGCGCATAGGTTGTGGGGCGCTCATTGTCCCCATGCATAACCGTTTTGCGTACTGTCGGCCTAATCGCTGCTTCTACTGCTTCGAACATCTGCTTCTCGTCGCCGAACTCTCCGCACTTGTGGGCCAATCTTTCGAACTTGGCAAAGAACTCGACCGCTGACTTGAATTCTGCCTGCTGGACCTTCTTCCATTCCGCCTTCCAAATTGCAAGCTCCGCTACTTCTCGGAATTCCTGCGTGAGGTCATGGGAGAATTCGGCCCAAGTGGGGAATCTCCAATGCCCCTGGTCATCCCGATACCGATAGTATTGGTCGCCCCACCAGTCCTTGGCTTTCTCCCATAGATAACCCTGCGTGAAGGTTATGCGGTAGGGGTTTTGGCCCTGGTCGTTCATGGTAAAATGCAGCGGGAAGACCTGGAAGTACATTTCGCAGTGATGAAGAAACCGATTAATGTCTGTGGCTTCTCCGGTGAAGTATTCGGGTTGCGTGATTAACTTCGGTTTTACGTCGTTCCATGGGTTGCCGTCTTTCCCCACGGCTAACGTCCAGGGTGGTATAGGGTCCGGGGGCGAGGGCGCCCTAGGCGGCACCGGAGGATTCGGCGGCCGTGGTAACGACCGTAGGCGGTAGTTCTCCCCGGGCAGGGGGTAGTCGCCCGGGTACCCTGGTCGACGCGGTGGCTGAGACGGCTGCTGAGGCGGGACCGTGGACTGCTTTCCTTTGTCCGAGGGTCCAGCGCCCGGGTCATCCATGTTATCGTCGTCAGGCCCTGCCCCTGCCCAGAACGCCTCCGTTTCGAGCGGGTTGGGCATCGGTTGAGGTCGGCAGTAAGGCGCGCAGCCTGGCTGCTGGTGTTCAGGGAACACTTGGTTCCATACCTCGGCGGCCTTATGCCACGTTTCCACCTCCAGGATATTCTTCATTAGATAGACGTCCCCTAGGGACTTCACGTACCGGTAATCTTCTCCCGCTTCTGTAAGGAGCCACTGGGAATCCTTCTCCATGTCTTCCATCATGATTTCGTATAGTCCGTGCCATGGTAAAATATTAAAGATTGTCGGGGTCGGGGCCGTGGGTTCGAGCAGGACTGTTCGGACCGCCCTCATCACCTCCACCTCGAGGGAACTGTTTGGTGGCTGACTCGGCATCCTCGGCCTTCTGCCTCTCTCGGGCGATTCGGTCGATCTCTTGGTTACGTTTCCACCTTCCGATATCGGAGTCGGGGTCGCTGATCTCCGACTCGTAGGCCTCCCAGGCTCTTCGGCGGGCCTCGAGGTCCGTTCCTGCTCGCTCGGCAAGTCCTGAGTATTGGAGCGCAGCTGCCCGCTGCCTATTCTCGATCTCGGCGCGGGTGGCATCTGGCTCGACGGGGAGGTCGTAGAAGCCATTGGGCCCGAGGAGGGCGGCGACTTCGGCGCGTCGAGTGCGTAGGTCTGCCGCTCTTGCTCGGTCCATTCGGGCCTCGACTTCTGGGGACTCCCTGGCATCTTGAGGGAGATCGAGCGACTCGACGAGCGTGTGGTAGAGGAGCGTCCAAGGACACTGGGTTTCAGGGACGGGGTTGGCGAATGCTCGCCCTGCCACCGATGGTGTAAAGGGGATTGGGGCGAGGTCTCCGGCGCCAGCAATCTCTCCAAGCTCCTCCTCGTCATAGTCTGGGAACTCGTCCCAGAGCTGCTGATCCGTCGGTTCAGCCCTGGCGATGGTGGGAGCGGGCGTTGGGGTCTCCAGGCGCTCGGGGATAGGGAGGCTCCCCGGGGGCGTGATTCCGGCCACAGGAGTTTCTTCCTCTGGCTCGGCATAGACCCAACTGGTGCTGGGGTGCCAGCTGACCGGGGCTCCTCTGTTTGTCGGCCAATTTGGAAGAATGGGTCTTGCTCCATCTGGATGGGCGGTAGTCGCGGCGGAGGCCCCAAGGGCAAGCTCTCCGGAATCACTGTCGTAGTCATCCTCCTGGGCGACCCGGTATCTCCTACTTTCACTTCGCCAGACCGCGTCTGTCCACCTATTTCCTGACCTTCCGCTGTAGTTGTCTCCGGTATAGGTCGCATCTTCCTCCATGTTCGGGTAGAGGTCATTGAGTCTAGTCCTCTCCCACTCTGTGAGCTCGTCCCCTTCGTACTCGGTGTCAGAGCTTTCTTCGCCCTCGACCAGATGCCTGGTGCCTTGTCCTCAGGCTCCATCGGTACTTGACTTGCCTTGGATTGGAGACTGGTCGAAGAGACCTGGTACGGGCAAGTCTCCTCTGTCGAGGAGTACGCCCCGGGTATCGGTGATGTCGACTGAGTCGACTGACTCATTGGAAGCGCTTCTGTAGGAGTCGGTGCTCGATCCTGAGGATTGTGAGCTGCTCCACGACGATCCGTAGAGGGATCCTCCAGGTTCCCCGGAGGCGGCGGATTCGACATCTTGTAGCGTCTGCTGAGATGCTGCGGGGATGTGTATTACTGGCGGAGGGTACGCCGGAGTGCTGGAAACGTAATGGAATGGGAGTTGCGTGCAGACTCGCCTCTGTTGTCGAAAACAGCGGTGTAGTCGGTACAAAATAATGGACAAGAAAAAGAGTATAAAAGTTGCGAAGACGGCGAGAATGGTGTCTGACCAGGGCATTCGTGATCGGGTCTACTCGTCGCGTAGTCTGATGATTACGATTGACCATGCGGTTTGGTAGATGGCTAGGATGGTGATCACGATAAGGATTGCGATAATCAAACTGAGGTCGGTCTCGTAATTGGAACCATTCATCAGCAAGGTTTCACTCGTGTCGGAGGTGCTTGTCAATGTCAACAATAAGATTGTTAACAAAGATGCGAGGCGAAGGAGTATGGTGAAGAGGTGCGTGATTTCTTTTCAGAAATGGCGTAAAAATCCAACCCAGAATAGCAGGACGAGTCCTGCAAACAGTGGTGACGGGATATATACGCAGATGAGGAAGACTCAGAGTATGGTCACTATGACCAAACCCAAGGGGTCGTTGATTAGGAAGCGTAGCACATGAAGTGCGATGATAATTAGAAGGAGGATTGGAAATATGTTGGGCAACAAGGAATTTGTTGGGCAACAAAGGACGAGCTTCGGCTAAATGTTAGCCACTAACTCTAATCAACTTAGATCGTGCTAGGGTCCCTACTCGCACTTTGGTAGGAGACGCTCAAGCAAGTCAAAGGCGACGAAAGATGATGGTGCAGATAGTCACAAAGAACAGAGTTCGATGTTAGGTAGATTAAACCTTAGCCGAAGCTGGGGTTCAGCCCAGCTGAGGCTCTACTTAAATACAAATGGATACGCTAATAATAGTACTGTGGGAAATGATCCGTCGGGATCGCATATGAGTAATCATGCTGAGTAAAACGAAGAAAAATGAATAAACCGTAACACTCGCTTTCCCACACATACAAACTCCAGCTGCCCGTTCGTGTAGCAGCATCCCAGTTGGTGTTATCAATGAGCAGATCTGTGCCAATGATCCAGAATTTGGACTTATCGGGACTGCTGATGAGGAACGGATCCTGAACACCACCTGTCCCACTGGTCGGGACAAGGATAGCATTGTCGCTGTTGAGAGTCTGGTAGGAGAGTGGGTTGTTTCCGTTACTGAGGTGTGCGAATATTGATGCCTCACGGTCATAGAAGTGCACAAAGAAATACCCGACTAGGTCCTGTCAAGTATATGTCAGTGCCATGAAATTGAGCTGCTGCAAACATGCACATCGCTTTGCCTAGGAGAGGGTAAAGCTCGAGCCAGGAAGACCAAATGGGAATACACCCAGAGTGCAGCGAAAGGCACTGGATTGTACATGTGACGAGGGACATGAAACTCAACCTGCCTTGGCTATCATTTTAATATCAACGATGGAGAAACCAGGCCTAGTGACGGGATGCAAAAGAATCATAGGATGTTCCATGTCATTCGCCCACGTCCTCGTGGCCCAGAGGGCTGGTGGTTCTTTCGACCTCCGACTCCCGAGTTATATCCATAGTTTATATCGACAACCTTGGCGCAACTATCCATGTGGGGCAGTGTGTGGCCAATCATCAGGGAATGAATATTTGGCAAAACGATGTGTTTTGGGGACGGGACCGATATGGTTGCAGAGCACACAAGAGCGGGTGATGCATACTGGCATGGAGAAATGGCCTTGATTTTTGGTATTATACGCCGCTACCGGGCGATATTTTACACGTCTTGGAAATGTAAGAGCTTCACTGTACATTTTAAAGCCATCAAATGCAGTGTGAACATTATAGGCCACGTGACGTACGAAAACCAAGTTGCACCTTGCTCCAAGCGATAGACCTTAGTATTTTGTTTGAAAGCCCCATCATTGTGCAATAGTATTAGAATTCCGACATTCTTGACGTAATTCTATAAACAAATCAGAAAAGTGGACGAAAGGAACACAGCTGACGCACCCAAAGACTAAAGTCCTTGAACTCGCCGCCAATTACCCAGGCAACCGGTTCTCTCCGTTTCATAGAATTGAATGATGATACCTACTATTACGCTCTGTGCGCCTGCTCCCATCTCAGAGAAGTGCAGTCGAAAGCTATATCACTTCCTGAGAAACAACTTAAGCATTAGAGGGAAAACAAGTGGCAACCACACCTTCAAAACCTCGAGGCGCCGTACCTCCATCGATATCTACTTCCGACAGCCTCCTTCTCTTCCTCATAGAGATACCATACGGTGATATTCGACTTCCTGGGCTTTACCAGCGCAACAGAAAACAGGCAAACAGCTGCAGAGACGTTAGCTGATATCCAAAAGTCGATAGTAGTCGTACATTGCAGCCGCCCTGTGCTCATCACTCGTAGGCCTTCAGATGATCATCGATCAGGGTTAATAGCTGCAGGCCTAAGTGATTTATTCCTGTGGAAAGTGCATCCCGATTCCCTACGTTCGGCCGCAATTTGTATGGTATGCGTAACCCAAGGGCCTGGATACTAACCGGAGAAAAAAAAAAACTGATCAAGATTAACAACGCGGAGAATAATCAAACGACGCACAGACGCAGACAGCCTAGGTTCGCAGAATAATGTCAGCAATCCTCATATCCTTCCTCAGACGGAAGCTTTACCATCTCCTTGCCCCTTCCCGCCAGTGCGACTCAAGTTCAAGAACGACCCCAGGATCACAGAGCAGTCTTTAATAGAATATCTTCATGAATATGCCACGAGAACGAGATATAAGGCTGGACGTCGGCGGGGCCATCGTGGGAGAGGAGAAAAGGTGATGACAATAAGTGCAAACAGACGCGTCACGTCGTTGGCGTTGCTTTGTCAACTACCATCATCAGCAGCCGGACTCTTCCTCGAAAATTATCTTGCAACCACCAATTCTTCTCATTCCAAGCATTACGACATCATCAAGTTGAGTCCGAGTCATTTGTGATTCGACTGCGCCTGTCCAATCGGTTCTATCTCGCAAAGAAGTAGAAGTCAGCAATTCGCAATAAAACGTTTCTGAGTCTCCTTCGCCTCTCCGTGGTCCCACGCAGTCCTTACTCCAGAAATCGCACCGCATAATTGGGCAATGCTCCTACCAAGACACCCCAGCCTTCGAGGATGCCTGAGATTGTGTTTCTTTCTCATCAAGGCCCTATTCGTGTTTGACATCATAACTCCTCTGCGTTTACTCCAATTTTAAGTAAAGTATACAACTGACAATGACACGTCTCAAAAGTTGACGTTTGTCTGGATCCATATTCGACACCGATCTGTGTCACACAGAAGTTTCAGGTGTAACTCCGTATCAACTGAGACGATCGCTTACAGGTCTGTCCTGTGCAAGCATCCCCTATTCAGAACAAGAGCCTCTTTCATTGCCGCTACCTCAGCAGCTACATTTTTCTGATAATGGCAGTAGGTCGAAACGATGATCTTATCTCGTATACTTCATACTCATATCCCTTCGTAGACTGCGCTAGACATGGATTTTTCTGTCGCAAACCCCCATCTGTATGAAGGCCCTTCCGACCGATTGCCTCGAAACTGGAGCAACAATTGGGAAGATTTTCCATCTCGCGAGCATCTATTTCCCCTCGTTAATAGCCGAATCTTTACGAGTCTTGACATCGAACTTCATCATCGTCTCTGGTGAAATCTACATCATAATGTACCATGATAAATCAGACAAAGCTGTCATCAGGATCGGCAACCGGTATTTCATATGACTTCGAAACGGATGTGCTCCTGGGATTCATTCATATGTACCCGACGTTGCATACCTTTTCGGACCAGGCAAGGCAATGGGAGGGACCGCTTTCTCAAGCTTATACACTGACCCCTTTTGTGGAAATCGAAGAGGATGTGACGTCAGATAATTACTACGATGAGGTTGAAAGATGGGATGAAGAGGTAAATAAGGCTAAAGCGGTACACTCCTTGACAAGTTCTCGCCAATTATGTTACCTATAAGTGATGCAATAGAAATCATCAGCGCTCGCGTACCGGTCGGTGAATTTCCAAATCTTCGACGCCTCCACATCCTTCAGCAGATACGTGTCGCCACATCTGAATATGATCTGCGCAGAATCGGGCTTGTACATGAGGATCTCTATCGTGCCATATATGTCAAAGTAGGCTTCGAGTTCGACGTTAAGGATCATATGCCCATAGACATATGGGAACAGGAAATCATCAAAGTCAAATTTTTCCCAGTCACAGCTCCAGCCTTGTTGAGGTAGACGGGAAGCATCTTTGTTGAGATGAGGGGAGTCAAGGCTCAGTTCCGGGTATACCTGAGCATCGGTCAGTTCGTGAAAGACTGCGCTTGTACTATTTCTACGTACCGCCATATTCCTGCTACGTTAGTAGAAGGTCTTATAGGGGATGGATGGTAGCCGAGTTTTTGACAGCTCCCCGAGCCGAATGTCATCGGACTTTCTATGTGTGGTAAATTTGAACGGCGCGCCACACATAAATTTCTGTTAAAGTCAGATTCTCGGTGTGGCAGGTTCTTTGTTTGTCACTTTGTTTACTGTGACTCATGTTACTATCACGCTCTCCACGGAGTTGCTCGGCCGAACTTCCATTCAGCTCTCCAAACAGCGATTCTAAGAGAAAATGCGAGCTGGTGGCGGCATCTGCCGCCACCGAGCGAGGCTTTTTCGAGCAGCACCCTTATTACTGTTAGTTTTTGAAGTCCTGATCATAACTACTTACTAACTGATTCAATTCACCCACAATCACCAATGGCATCGGCTCTGATTCCAACTCTTAGGTTCAATCGTGTATAAGTGAGGTAGTTTTTGGACAATGGATACTTTCATGAGGAGCGAACGTAGCAGGCTTTGCCCCAGAGCGGGCCTTACAGGAGTTATTCATAGCTGGGATCAGTGGCAACGTGTATAAAGAAGCACCGGCTGGCTCTGGCCGAAATAGGGCCGGCTTATCCCTCGGTGTACAGATCGGTCGAGCCTTCAGCACTGACTCGAGGACCCTGAATTAAAAAACGCAAAACGTTCTTATTTCTATCGATATAACACTTACATGAAGATAAGATAATTGTCAAGAAGTCAGCAAGGTGTTTACCGCTTGAGTCTTTTTATCTCTCCATCCCGTCTTTCAACTTCGTCAGACTAATTATCGGGCATTACATCCGCTACCCTTTCCATAGGCAGCGCATAGGTCCAGGAAAGCAGCCCCTGCCATTGCTTCCTCAGATCCAAAGATGCATCCAACGTCGACTCAGCACCACCTGCTAGTAATGCTGACGTCCTCGACGTATTTCTAAGAGCGAAATTTTTAAAAAAATGTGTAGAAAGGAATACAGCTGACATACCCAAAGTCAGCGAATACATCGCTAATCACCGAGACGGCTGGTTCTCTTAGGTTGACGCATTGAACGGCCACGCCTACTGCCACGCTCCTCAAATACGTGGCGTTCAGCTCGCAGAGGCAGATCTAGCTCCACCTTAATGCTCAGTCCAGCGCTGCACAAAAGCCGTGGTATTTGCGAAACAACTGGAAGGAGCACATATAAGCATTGGAGAAAAAATAAGCGGTAACCATACCTTCAAAGCACTGAGGCACCGTATCTCCAGCGATATCTAGCAATGGTTATATATATGCTGATTCCCACGACGTTATTCTAAGAACAAGTCAAAAAAAGGACGAAAGTAACACAGCTGATGCACCCAGTCCTCGAACTCGCCGCCGACTACCTAGGCAACCGGTTCTCGCAGTGAATGAATGGCTAGCTCCTTGAATACGAAACGTTTGGCATGTGCGTGTGAGAGCTGGTCTATTTCCATCTCAAAGAAGCACAGTCTAGCCCTGCATAGAAGTTGTGATGCTTGAGAAACAATTTAAGCATTGGAGGGAAAACAAGCGGCAGCCGTACCTTCCAAACATTGAGATTGAGGCCTGAGGCGCCGTACTCCAGCGATATCTATTTCCGACGCCCTTCTCAGAGGTATACCATATGGCGAGCATTGTTCTCCGCGATATATGCATAGACGCGGCTATCGTTTTGAAATTCGACTTCTGGGCTTCCCAGGTGCAACATAAAACAAGGAAAGGCTGCAGAGACGTTAGCTGACATCCAAAAAGGAGCAGTGTCATGCCTCCAGATGGACAAGGTTTGATAACTGCGGACCCTAAGTGTTGGTTTATTCCCATGCGGAGTGAATCCCTATAACTTTAAAGCCTTGATCCTACGTTCGGCCGCAATTTGTATAGTATGGGTGACCCCAGGGACGTGCATACTAGCCGGGAAAAAAAGCACTGATCAGAAGTGGCTGCGCAAAGGATAATCAAAACGACGCACAGATGCAGACAGCCTAGGCTCGCAGACGAATATCCGGGATTCGCATATCGTTCCTCTCAGACGGCGACCCTGAAGCATCTACCATCTCCCTGTTCCTTCAGTCCTCAGACATAAGAGCGACTCGAGATCAAGAACGACAATAGGGTGGCAAAGTAGTGTTCCGCGAAATATTTTCTTGGAAATATGTGCGATGAGAACGAGACATCAGGCTGGACGTTACCGAGGTTTGACCGAGGTCGTCGTGGCGAGGACAACAAGCAAGTGCAAACAGACGCGTCACGTCGGTGGCGTTGCTTTGTCAACTTGTCCAAAACTTGTCAGCGGCCCGACTCTCGTGGTATCGAAAATTATTGCACTCAGCGTTTCTTCCGATTCCAAGCATTATGATATCCTCGAATTGAGTCCGAGTTATCCATGTTGATTCCACTACACTCGAGTCGTTCTATCTAGCACTGAAGTCAACAATTCTCAATAAAATGTTCCTGAGTCTCCTTCGCCTCTCCGTGGTCCCGCGCAGTCCTTACTCCAGAAATCGCATCACAGAATTGGGTGTCGATGCTCCTACCATGAGCCCCGACCTTCGAATAATTTTAGCGAGGATGGTCCTGAGATTGTGTTTCTTTCTCGTTGAGGCCCTATTCGTGTTTGATATCGTCCTCTGCATGAACTTCAATTTTAAAGTCGACAGACGTCGCAAAAGGTGAGGTTTGTCTAGATCCATATTCGATACCCATCTGTGTCGTACAGAAGTTTTGAATGACAGAACCTGTGGCTTTGTATCAACTGAGAGGACTGACTGCGGGTTTGTCTTTATGAATCCTGTTCAAGCCTCTCCTATCAAGAACGGCCCTCATTCCCGTCACCATCACCCAGCTACATTTTGTTTATCATGGCAGTGAGTCAAAGTAATAATGTCGATGATACTTCATTCTCATATCCCTTTGTAGACTATTCTAAACATGGATTTTTCCGTTCCAAATCCCCATCTGTATGAAGGCCCTTCCGACCAGCTTTCTCGAAACTGGAGAAAAGTATTGGCCAGGGAACAGGCACACAGCCAGGGACCGTCGAACGGTCCACGCGGGATAAATACAAGAAACGGAAGAGCGGATCACACGGAAGGCTGAGAACTTGGAACGCGCTGACGTTCTCGTGGTATCATAGATTAAATTTGTATCATTGTCCGGTTCGAATAAAAATGACAATTTCCATACATAAGTTGTCACCAGAAACAGGATATCTTGGAGTGAGGTTTTAAGTAAAGATTCAAGTTTAATTACCCTTCAATCAAGCCGCATAAGTGTAGCACAAGAAACCATCTTCCGTGCTCAACACGTCGGCAACCTACATTTCAGTCAGAATGATCAACAGAAGTCACGTTATTATACAAGTGCAGCACATACCGTTGCATTAGGAAGAATGTCGAACATATACAATACGGTAGCTCCGGTGGTCTCCTGGTATATTGTTTAGTACATCTTGTGACAGAAACACAGTAGCACATACAACATAACCGGTCGCAGGTTCTTTCTCCGACTCATACCCGATGTTGTTCAAATCATTGATACGAGTCTCGTTGTCGCCCTGCCACTTCCACCAAAGCTGCAGCAGATACACGACTCGAAGATCAGTCCACACAGAACACAGCCGGAAAGAAAGTGAACTGAACGCACATAATCCACAAATCCGTGATGCATCCAGAACATTGGATCGTTAGGTGAAGTTGCAACGTTAGCCATCTGGTAAAAGGATAAAAAGATAAGACGGCGTCATCGTATATGGAAAATCACGCACATCCCCGCCGATACCAGCATGCCCTGAGACATGGATCCCGAGATCTGTGGCTGCGACACCCATGGTACTTTTGAAATCCGCAAGTGTTTCAAGGGCAAGCAGAGCATCAACGTATGTCTGCCCGACTCTGATCGAGGCGGTCTCATCCACTTCGCGTGCAAGAAGATGTGAGATACCCGGCGTCGCGCTCAAGGGCCGTGTGAGGTTAGCAAAAGGCCCGTCAATGACGGCCCAGTCATCTTCCTCATTACCATTCCCTCCAAAGTCTAGTAACACGGGAGAGGTGGAAAATGCACTGGCGTCGACAGCTTCATTCCAGTACGGCAACTGAAATCCGGGAAGGTATTATTCGTTTGACAACTAGGGTAAAGCATAGGTAGACGTACAGCACCGGTGTATCCGCACTCGTTACGGAGGAGTGTTTCGTGGACATAGACGTAATAACGGTGGACCTGGAATACGAATTTAGACTGTAGATCCCGAACTTGAGGATGAAAATAATGTTCATACATGTAGGAACCTAGACAAGAGAGTACAAAGAGCCTAGGTAAGCGTAGTATATGACGATGAATAAAGGACTACTGACTGTCCAGTTACATGCCAGAAATCATTGCCGTCCGCTAAATCACTTTGCTGCTGATGTGTACCAACCTATCAAATAGAAATATATGAAAACGATTATATAGTGATATTATGAAAGGAAACTGACCAAGTCATCGTAGCGCGAAACAACGTATGGAATGTCGGTTTGAGCAGGCGCGTTAAGGAGACAGAGTTCCGCCGCGAAGTATGCTGCCTTCTCATCTTCGGTCAATGCATTCCTACAAGGTGTGTTCAGAATGGTATACCATGCATCGATACTGTAAGATGAATAGTTACCATTCCACACGAATAGTTGGCTCTGTGCAGGTCGACCGTCGACTGGCGCCAGGTGCTGCCAATGCGCGAGGCAGCTGAACAGCAGCCAGGATCAAGATAGACAGTTTGGAGAAGATGACGTGCATGGTAGTTCAAAGAGATGATAACCAAGAAGCAGTCCGGAAAGGTAGACAGAACTCGACCTGTAAAAAGTTCATTTCAGTAAGATGGACTTTATATTCCACTTCGTGGAGGTTCAATCCCGACAGAGTAACGAAAGAGTCAGCAGTAAGGTATCATCAGGCACTTGACAAAATTGCCACGAAAGCTAGCCGCGAGGGTCACACAAAGTGCACGCAAAAGTGGCGCAAAACCGTAGTTTCCGCGTGTGTTGAACCTGAAAGTAGAAATCAGAGTGTTGTGATCATCAGCTCTTTACTTCACAAGGCCCCCGGATATCTACCGACGGTTTTTTTTTCTTCTAAAATTTCCGCATCTGGTACTTGATTCATAGCTGTAGTGTTTCAAGCCGAAGCAAAGGATGTGATGAGCCTGAACAACACTCTCCCTCGGCAAAAAGATCTCACAAGAGTCTTTCTCCTCCGTCTCAGTCATAAGTAATTGAAGTCAATTCTCTGGGGAAGAGAAGGGATTGCTGTTGGCTCGCTAGAACACAGGTTGAAGTCACTAAGAATCTTATCTTTATCTTATCTGCATGCCTCGGACTTCGGATCGGCGGTAATTGCTCGCCCTATTATAGTAGCCCATCAAAATGACATCTAGAAGCGGCTGAACGGCTGAAGCTTGAGCGCGCGCCTGATCCCCGACTTCTCGGGATTATTGCAAGTATATCAGCCCAATCTCACGACGCCTCAGAGAGTGACTTTTACAGCAGAATCCTCTCACATATTTATAACATTATCATTTCACTCTTGTATAGTATAATACAGTATTACACACGAACCATTAGCACAAAGAGCCGATTTAGCGAAGAAGACACGTTACTATCCGAAATGCATCTCAGTGCGAACGAAATGCGGGATACCAACGTTGCAAGTAAAAGCCTGTGCACCCTCCAAAAACTCAAAGGTGTAACCCTTTTCGCTGTGTATCACCAGGCCCTCGAACGCCTTAGGATCCATCGGCTTGTATCCAAGGATCACTTCTTTAAGCGCCTCTTCCTTCTCGTGATATCAAGTGTTAATGTCGAATTGTTCTTGTTCCGTTCCTGACATTCTATTCAGACTCGGTATAACACTACTCAAGTCGAGACTTTTCAGGTACGGGAGACACGGTATCTGGTTAAGGACGGGAACCTTAAGAATAAGGTTCAGCTTCGTTCATTGAGAATTTTTTTTTAGAAAAAACATGCGATCATATCTGCTTCTCCTCCAACATGGCTCGTAAACACAGTCAACCCGACGAGCTTCGGACATTCCGCAACCAGTAGCTCGAGATGTCCGGGAGTGGTAATAGGCCAGCTACATTCCATGGGAGCTGTCAAATGAAGGTACTTCATCGTACTCCCGTGCTTCTTCAAAAACTTCTCGTAGAATTCGTTCCCTGGCTCTCTCCCATCTCGCGTTCCTCCGCTGAGTTCGAGAACGCGATACAGATCTGGATGAACTCTAATTTCTCTAGTGCCCATAGAAAGTCCCATAGTTCCGGTGAAAGGCATGCATGTGGAGTGAGATGAGGGTCAGCCTTGATGGATCGTGCGGTGCGTTCCTTCCTCCATAAGGCATGTCCAGAAACCAGTCGGAGTACCGAGATTGTCGTGAATGATGAGGCTACCGAGACAATGGAAGTGGTCCTTGATAGACGACCAGTCTTCGAGCATGTGGAAGCCACCTGTAACCAGGTTCTCGATGCTCAGATAACGGTCACCAAAACCACTTAAATATCTCCCATAGGCGCCTCACCATTCTCCAGTCTCATGGTCTTGACAGCCGGTGTAGTCTGCCAAAAGGACCGAGTTGAGACACAGGCAGCATCGCCCCATGTGCGGGTTAGCCTGACGGCGTGGACATACGGACGAAGATAGCTTTATCAAGTGCAACGAATGTCAGGAAGGAAAGAGATGATAGTGTCGTCGTCGATTGCTGTACTGCGATAATTTTGGTCTTCTGGACGTGGCGAAAATGTCGCCATTGAATGGATCGAAATATCCTAGATATCCTAGCCTGATGTGAACCATGTCGCCGATGAAACAATATACCATACAAATCGACGAGAAGACAAGATATTCCACAGCATTATTGATGAATTTACACGTCGCCCTCAGTTTCTTTCTGAAGGAGTTGCTGCTGGTCTTAAGCAAAAGGCTTTGAAAGGAAACATCAACAAACAATCGCGTCGTGTTGGTGGCGCAAGCTCTGCACCAGACCGCAACGTCCCTCATCAAAAACACAGGCGAACTTTCTTTTCGGCTGCAAAGCACTTCTATTTACCCATCCGGCAGGGCCTTGATCATCCAAAATGACCTTCCTGAGTCCTCGTGCCTCCGTTAAAAGTCGGTAAGCATTATTTATTAAGTCGCTTTGCTGACAGATTAAGACGGCCTCAGTGGATATGCGGCTGATTACATCACAGAAGGAGGGTGTGCGGTCTCGCTCATACAGATTTTTAGTGGGAAAAAAAAATGATACACGGATGTTTCCAGATAACGCAAATGTTGTGGTGTCAAGTTGTTTATCCCGTCAGGATTCGGGTTTGCGACTGCCGAGGCACCTCCTAGCTTGTTAAGTCACAAGGATTATTTCTGTAGTGGGTGAAACGTGGTCCTGGCAATTGAATTCGAAGCTGAAGGTCCCAACGGCAGAATCTTTGAAAAAGATCGGATTACCACCTGCGAGATTTCTCGTGAGCTCAATCAATATTTTTTCATGAAATTTACCGATTGTTAGACATAGAATGGATACATGTTCTTTTATCTCCTCAGAACGACAATATATTCTTCTTGGAATCCGAAAGGTTGACGATGGTGGAAGTGACTGCTAAAGTAAGTCTTGCACCGCATCACGTCGACGAGCTTCCTGGCGAGTTGCCTGGGTCGTTCGGAATTTTTGTGCATGAGATTATCGAGAGCCACGGTGGATCCACTGGGTGGGACCATGAGACGAGCAAGGGAGGCTCGGAGGCTGCTGGAAGTTCAAATTGACTGTAGTCAGGATACTGCAAAAGATAGCGATTATCTTTGTCATTAGTATGGAGGGATAAGCCTAACTCAATAACAGATGCATGCGGGGGCTGATTTAAATCGCAATACAGCATTGTTGTTGGGAAAAGACAAATCCATCCCTGGATCGATTGTATGTTTCCTAATATTTGGATGAGGATTCGGGTCGGGGCAGAGGAATGCTGATATCAATTTTAAGGTTGAAGCACATGAACGAATAATATAGCCTACCAACATAGTAAGTTTCGCACTCTGAGAAGAAAGCCATATGCAGGTCTCGTCACGTCAAAATGCAAT